AAAAAAAAAAAAAAAAAAAAAAAACTAAGGGGAAAAAAACCCACTTCATTAACATAGTGAAAATACTTAACCTCTCAGGAAGCATTTCACTTAACAGTTAACTAGTTGAACATAAGATTTGATTTAGCATAAGATATTATTTAACATGGTAAAAATATGAAACATATTTTTATTATTGAAAAAAAGAAATATAATAAAACAAACACATGCAAATCACCTTGGCAAGAAATAGGCTGTCCCTGTACTATAACAAACAAATAAGCAAACTAAAATTGCAAGATATTGATGAGAGACATAGAGTATTTGGATAAATGGAGAAACGCCATGTTCCTAGAAGAGAAAACTGAGTATTTTTAAAAGATCTTTGTTTCCAAATCAACTTACATACCAGTAAAATCATAATTTGATTTTGGAGGGAACAGAATACAATGGTTCTTGTGTTCAATTAGAATAATAAACAGAAATAAGTAGCCTTTTCCTTTTTTCTATTAAACAAGGAATAATAAGGAAAGAACAGATATTATAACATATAAATGTACATTAATTAAATATGTTACTACTAACAGAGAATAGCAATACAGATTGATGAAACCCACCTTAGAGGCAAACCCTGTTCTTTATAAAATATTGATGTGATGAAAAAAACATCAAAAATCAATGGAAGGAGTGATTAATTATTCTATAAATAATGCTGAAAACTTTGTTAACTATTTAGAAAAAGAATCTTTAATCCTTAGAGAATATTTAATCTCACAAAATAATTTGAAATTACATGCAAAAAAATTGAACAACAAAATGGTATTTGTCTTCTCAGTAGGCAGGAACCAAAGCACTAAAGTAGTGAGAGCAATAAAAGAAATCAGCTCAAAATGGAATGTTTCATACAATTACATATATAAAACATTAAAACTTACCCACATCAAACCAAAAACTAAAAAGTAAACAAAAAACTAGAAAAGTACTTATAACAAGTATAAAAATTTCAATATCCTAACAGTATAAAGAGCTCTCAGAGATCAGAACAGAACATTATAAATTATCTAAAAAACAAATGATCAGGAGACATTAAGAGGCAAGCAGGAAATGCATCAACAAAGTGAAATACAGATTACTAATAAGCTTGCAAAAAATATTCTAACAGTAACAAAGAAATGAATATTAAAATAAAGCATATTCACCTATACATGAATAAAGATTTTTAAAAGATTAAAATATGGGGAACCAGGGTGGCTCAGTCAGTTAAGCATCCAACCTCATTTTGGCTCAGGTCATGATCTCACAGTTCATAGGATTGAGCCCCATGTCAGGCTCCACGCTGACAGCACAGAGCCTGCTTGGGGTTCTCTCTCCCTTTCTGTATGCCCCAACCCTGCTACTGCATGTTCTCTCCTCCCCCCCCTCAAAACAAATAAACTTAAAAAAATAAATAAATAAAAGATGAAGGGGCACCTGGGTGGCTCAGTCGGTGAAGCATCAGACTCTTGGTTTCAGCTCAGGTCATGACCTCACAGTTTGTGAGTTCGATCCCTACATTGGGCTTCACATTGGCAGTGTGGAGCCTGCTTGGGACTCTCATATTCTCTCTCTCTCTCTCTCTCTCTCTTTCTCTTTCTCTGTCCCTCTCTCCCTCTCTCCCTCTCTCTACTCCTCCTCAGCTTGTGCTCTCTCTCTCTCTCTCTCAAAGTAAATAAATAAGCTTAAAAAAATAAAGATTAAAATAAGTTTTGATAAAGATTTGGACAGTAATGCTCATGTACAGCAGGCAGACATATGAATTGTTTTAAGCTTTCTGGGTAGCAGTTTGGCAGTATGAATCAAGAAGTAATAAAAATATTTATATCCTTCAATCAATTTTTCCACTTTTAGGAATCTCTTTCAAGGGATTAACCAGAGAGGCAGGCGGAGTTTTATTCACGAGTTTTCATTGCAGCATTGTTCATAGCAGGGGGAAAAAAAAAAACTCCTTAAATTTCTAACAATAGAGACATGGTTATGTAAATTACAGTGGAGCATATTATAGAGTATTGTTCAGGCATAAAAATGTTTTTGAAGGATATTTGATGGCATGGTCAAAAGCATTCAGTATGCCCTCAGTTATATTTTAAAAACCGAGTTATGAATAGAAAAATATATTGTATAAAAATACTCCACAATGTTATTAGAGGTTAGTACTCAAATGTGGGATGGTAATGAATTTTATTTTGTTTCTTAATATTTTCCAACTTATCTACAATGAGCATATTGTTACTCCATACTTACAGAAAATATGAAATCTTTCTTTAAAAGAAGAACTTACATAACCCTCCTGCAATGATGTGGGGTTTTGTCTGTTTGCTAGTTTAATCAGAGAAGTCTTTTTGAATAATACTCACCCACGGCCTCTGCAATCATGAAAACGAAGCATATTCCTGAAGCAGCACAGAGTTTCCACTTGGCATAGACTTGCTCGTTTGCTCTGTTCTCTGTGGCCTTGGAGTTGCTGTGGCAGTGATAGATGGCTCCTGAGTCCAGCTCCTCTGGCTTCTCTCCAGGACATTGATTTTTATTCAAGGATTTCTGCTGGAGTTCCACGCTATGGATGAGTTTGACAGAAGCAAGAAGTGAACACGGTTGCAAACAAATACCTCACTGACAGCCCTACCCATTCTCAGAACTGATAGAAGGACATTTGCTAACTAGATAGGAAGTTACAGTTCACAGCTCCTTCTATAAGAAATATCAAGTGTATGGGGCGCCTGGGTGGTGCAGTCGGTTAAGCGTCCGACTTCAGCCAGGTCACGATCTCGCGATCCGTGAGTTCGAGCCCCGCGTCAGGCTCTGGGCTGATGGCTCAGAGCCTGGAGCCTGTTTCCGATTCTGTGTCTCCCTCTCTCTCTCTGCCCCTCCCCCGTTCATGCTCTGTCTCTCTCTGTCCCAAAAATAAATAAACGTTGAAAAAAAAATTAAAAAAAAAAATATCAAGTGTAAGGAACAAGCAAGAAATTTCCTTCTGAAGTCTCAACTACTAAAGGTTTTGCTTTTTTATTCAGCCAAGCTATACCAGCAGTGATTAAGAGATGTTAAAGGAACAGGAGAAAGGAAGCAGATACATTTTGATGCATTTCCTTACAAATTACTCCACTTTGAAAGGATTTTGGACCCTGTGTTACAAATTTTAAAAAGCAGCGGTGAAGAGCAATGTTAGATATGTGCGTATGAGCCAGTCTGAAGATTCAAATACTATCACATGCCCAAACTCTTCCTTTCTTCTCCACACCAACACTGTTAATAGATCATAGCACTTTCTCCTGTTGAGTCCCTGTTGACCCCCAGAATCCTTCTTAACACAGCTTTGCACACACTCTCTACCAATCTATCAAAGCTGTATTGTGAGTTGAACCTACTTACACTTCCTAAAGCGGGCAGTATATATCAGTTCTTCTCAAGTATAAAGCATTATTTACAGGCTGGAATAGAATTCTAGCATTTCATAGATGGAAAGATTATAGATACCATTTAGTCAATCCCATAGTTTCTTTTTTTATATATATATAATTTATTGTCAAACTGGCTAACATACAGTGTGTAAAGTGGACTCTTGCTTTTTGGGATAGATTCCCGTGGCTCATCGCTTGCACCCAGGGCAACAAGCACCCTCCTCAGTGCCCATCACCCATTTTCCCCTCTTCCCCACACCCCATCCACCCTCAGTTTCTTCTCTATATTTAAGAATCTCCTATGGTTTTCCTCCCTCCCTCTCTGTAACCATTTTTCCCTTTCCCTTCCCCATGGTCTTCTGTTAAGTTTTTCAAGATCCACATATGAGTGAAAACATATGATATCTGTCCTTCTCTGACTGACTTATTTCACTCAGCACCTTCCAGTTCCATCCACATTGCTGCAAATGGCAGGATTTCAGTCTTTCTCATTGCCAAGTAGTATTCCATTGTATATATAAACCACAACTTCTTTATCCATTCATCAGCTGATGGACATTTGGGCTCTTTTCATAATTTGGCTATTGTTGAAAGTGCTGCTATAAACGTTGGGGTACACATGCCCCTATGCATCAGCACTCCTGTATCCCTGGGGTAAATTCCTAGCAGTGCTATTGCTGGGTCATAGGGTAGATCTATTTTTAATTTTTTGAGGAACCTCCACACTGTTTTCCAGAGTGGCTGCACCAGTTTGCATTCCCACCAACAGTGCAAGAGGGTTCCCATTTCTCCACATCCTCGCCAGCATCTGAAATTTCCTGAGTTGTTCATTTTAGCCCCTCTGACTGGTGTGAGGTGATATCTCAGTGTGGTTTTGATTTGTAGTTTGTTAGCTGAAGTAATTAAGGTTCAGAGAGGTTAAGTAATTGCCCAAGGCCAAATAGCCAGCAAACAGCAGAACTGGGATTCTGATGATGTTAATAGCATTCAGGATTTTGAACAGTTCCAAATAATCTCCTTTTTTAGAATAGGAACCATTTGGCAATAGGCACATAGAATATTTATGTCTATAAATTTTTGCCTTTGTAATGTGATACATACCCTTAGAATAATAATAAAAAAAAAAACATGTCATGTAGCAGTGTGGGTCAGCAATGGCCATCAACTCAGAGGAGCATGAGAACTAAAAAGGAAGCATGATAGAAGTTTCCCTTCCTTTGTGCAGAGAAGGCAACATGACCAAGACAAGGTCACCAATTGTTCTGGCACTGTTCATATGACCATATGATTTGCTGAAGCCATAGGAAGCTTTGCTTTATTTTATACTTTTCATGAATCTTGTGGTCAGAGAAAACCAGGTGGTGACCAGGAGAAAGAACTTATTCTGGAGCAGTGCAGAAGGCAGACCAAGGCAGGAATCCCACTAAGGGTGCAGCCTCTGGGCAATGCCACAAGAAGAAAAGTACAAGAAATCTGGCCAATTTTACTTTTAAACCCTGCTTTGTTGTCCCAGACTCTGAGATTAACCAATATGGAGTTACTCTGAGCTGAGATTGCTCTTCGAGGTACTAAGCAGGGGATCCAAAGGTGGGCTTCAGAGGGTCCATTGAAATTGGATGCAGTGTGTTCATATGTGTGTCTGTGTGTGTTTTATGGTGGGGGGGAGGATGCAGGATCCCACAGTCTTCTCTGGGCTCCTAAAAGTGTCCATAATCCTCCCCAAACTTGAAAGCCAAAATTAAAATACATTTCTCATCACCTCATTAGAGCAAAATGGCCTGGGTACCTATAGATGCAGAATAGGCTCTTGATATAAAAAATGATGTGAATCCTAAGAATTTTAAGAAGGTTCTAAAAAGCAAATGCTATGATGCATCAAAAAACGAATTGTGAATAAATTACCATAGATTCCCACAAATTCAAAGATGGTTAAAGCTCAGAAGGGTAGGAATAGTAGACCCGAGCAAAGAAATTTACTGTAGCATCAAAGAAAAAAAGGGGGGGGGGAGAAAAACAGGAGAAATAGGGAAATATTCCAAATTTTTCTTGTAATAGCCTACAAATTTGAGTTTATTTCTTAAAATATGAATTAGAAAATTGAGCTTTGTTTTGTAATCTTGGGGAAGCCTCTCTTTTTCTTTTGTATTTCATTTTTGCTTGATGATAGACATTAAACTCCTTTATTCTATGTCTCTAAAAATAGAGCTGGTAATACTTTTCACCCTCTTATTTCATATGTTGACCATATAAAATCAATCCCATTTTGTACTTTCACATCACTTCTCCCAAGAACCTCCAGTCACTATGACTGTTAGAACAGGAGATGAAAGCTTGGGTCCCACCATGCATTTCCCACACTTCATGTATTCATTCATTCATTCATTCATTCATTCAACAGATATGTGCTGCATGCCTGCAACATGCCTCCACTATCAGAGGTGCTAATGACACCATAGTCTTTGAGACTAAGCTCCTGACCTAAAAAGCTTGTATCCTAGCAGAGGGACACAAACTGTAAGCCAGCAGATAGTTTCAGAGGCTGGGTGGTATGATGGGCAGTGACTGGGTGAGGGAAGGTGGGGCTACTTTAAACAGAGTGGTAATGGGGGTGCACTTCTGTAGAGATACTGCCATGGTGAGTTCAAGGGTAACTGGGAGTAGACCTACATGCAAGAGAAACATCAAGTGGAGGGTGTTGCTGGGGCAAGGGCACAAAGGCAAGAAAGAGATTGTCTTGTTCAAAAGCTGGGCTTGACGGAAAGGGAACTACATATGTGGCCACTGTGGTGTGAAGACAGAGTAACATTGGATGATGTCAGAGAAGTAGGCAGATGTTAGCTCATGCACAACTCTGAGCCATTAAAAAAGGATTCACTTGGGCACCTGGGTGGCTCAGTCAGTTAAGCGCCAGACTTCATCTCAGGTCATGATCTCAGGGTTAGTGGGTTTGAGCCCCGCGTCGGGCTCTGTGCTGACAGCTCAGAGCCAAGAGCCTGCTTTGGTTTCTGTGTCTCCCTCTCTCTCTGCCCCTTCCCCACTCACGCTTTGTCTCTGTCTCTCCTCTCTCTCTCTCTCTCTGAAAAATAAACATTAAAAAATAACAAAAAAGGATTTACTTTTCTTCAAATTCTATTGGGACGTAGGATCCACAGGACATACTAATCAATAGCATCAGTTAAGGGGGAATGAGGAAGGGGAGGGACCGGAGGATGGCTCATGGATTTCTGGTTACAGCAGCTAGGATAAGGGCATGCCAGTTTCAGAGATGGGCTGAGTGACTGGCAGCACAGCGAGGGGGCTGCGAACTTGGGCTCTGACATCCCATTGCTAAGTCACCTCCCAGCTTTACCACTCACTAATCATATGATTGTAAGAAAATGACTTAACCTCTCTGTGCCTCAATTTCCTCACTGCAAAATGGTGATAATGATAACACCTCTCTCACAGGGCAGCTGTGATATTTTAGTTAATTCATATAAATATTTCAAAGTGTGTTTGGAACAAGGTAAATGCACCAAAAAATGTGAATTTTTAAGTTAGTCTACCATTTTCACAAACTACATTATTATCATTGTTCTTGAGAAAGAATAAAACAAGTTTTACTGTGAAATAACTTTTAAGCTAAGCATTTTTATAACAGAGCTTGAATAAACAAAAAGCAGGCTTTTCTTTTGTTGCCCCTTTGTCCACATCTATCATTCTAGATTCTACTCCAATGACAATAAATCATACAAATCATCAGTTTTGTATTAATTGACCCCGGGGCTGGATTCTCTAATCCTAAGGAGAGGATAAATGTCAAAGAAGGAGAAAACAGTCATAAATCCCTTAGCTGTTCCTGGCCCGTTTCCCCTTATCAACCACTGTGCTCTGTCTGCACTAGAAAGAGTCCTAAGTATTCAGCTCCTGGGACCTTGTCTTGAACACAGTAAATATCAGCACATATTTGCTGAGATTATACTTGATTCGATGTTTATGAAATATATGAGTGATGTGAAGAAGTGTTTTGAGGGGAGAGCTAGAGGGAGTGGAGAATAGAAATGTTTGCAGCATCAGATGTAATTTCTTATCCCAGAACAGGAATTCAGTTTACCCTCTCCTTTTTGAAACAGCTTTATTAAGGTATAATTCATATACCACACATATGACCCACTTATGTATACAACTTAATGGGTTTTAGCATATTTGCAGAGTTGTGTGACCATCACCATAATCTAAGTTAGAACATTTCCATCATCCCAAAAAGAAACCTTGTACCCGTTAGCAATATTTCCCCAATGTCCCAATCTCCTTACATACAACCTTACCCTAGGCAAGCACTAATTTGCTTTCTGCCTCCATAAATTTTCCCATTCTGGACATTTCATATAAATGGAATCATACAGCATGTGGTTTTTATAAATGACTTCTTTCACTTAGCATAATGTTTTCAAGGTTTATCCATGTTTTAGAAAGTATCAATACATCAGTACTTTATTGCTTTTTATTTTCAAATAACACTCCATTGCATGGATATACAACATTTTCTTTAATCATTTGATGGGTATTTAGGTGGTTTTGATTTGGGGTTTTTACTTTATTCATAATAATGAATAATGCTGCTATGAAAATTTGTATACAAGCTTTTTTAGAAGTATGTTTTCATTTTTATTGAAAAAATACCTAGCAGTAGAATTCCTGGGTCATAAGGAAACTCTATATTTAACATTTTGTAGAAATTGCCAGAATGTTTTTCAAAACACTAGGCTATTATACATTCCCACATTCAATACTTGAGAGCTATCATTTCTCTGTATCCTCACCAACACTTGTTTTTGGTTTTTTGATTATAGCCATCCTAGTGGGTATGAAGTACTATCTCATTGTGGTCTTGACATGCATTTCCCCTGATGGCTAATGATGTTAAACATCTTTCATGTGTTTATTACACATTTGTATATTTTCTTGGAGAAGTGTCTATCCAAAGCCTATTTTTAAATTGGCCAATTTATCTTCTTATTATTGAGTTGTAATTGTCCTTTATATATTCTGATATATTTAATTTGCAAATATTTCCTCTCAATTTGTGGCTTGTATTTTCATTTTCTTCGTTGTATTGTTTGCAGAACAAAAGATTTTAATTTTGATGCTCTGTAATTTATCTATTTTTTTTATCACTTATGCTTTTGGTGCCATATTAAGAAACCATAGCCTAACCCAAGGTCATAAGGTTTTATGCCTGTGTTTTCTTTTAAGAGTTTTATAGTTTTAGCTCTTACATTTAGCTGTCATTTGTTGTAGCTTTATATTAACTTTTGAAATCAGGAAATGATTTCAAATATTTTTTTTCAAGTGTGTTTCACTTTTTCTAGGCCCCTTTTATTTCTATATGAATTGTGGGATTATCTTGTCATTTTCTTCAGACGGCAGATGAGATTTTAGTACTGATTGCACTGAAACTCTACATTACATTGGAGAATATTGCCATCTTAAAATTGTCTTTCAATACACAAACATGGGATATCTTTGCATTGATCTAAATAAAGATCTAAATCTTCTTTAATTTCAGTGTTTTGTTATTTTCAGTGTACAAGTTTTGTACTTTGTTAAATTTATTCCTAAGTATTTTATTCTTGTTCATGCTATTATAAACTGAATTGTTGTCTTAATTGTATTTTCAGATTAGTCATTGCTACCATATAAAAATACAATTTATTATTTGGATATTATCTTGCTACCTGAAGCCTTACTGAACCTGTTCATTAGCTCTAAAGATTTTTAGTGGATCCCTTAGGATTTTTATATACTAGTTGATGTTATCTGCACATGGTGTTAAGTTTTATGTCTTCCTTTCCAATCTGGATGGCTTTTATTTTCATTTTTATTTCTGTCTTGCCTGTTTGCCTTGGCTAGAACACTCAATAAATTGCTGAGTAGAAATGGTGACAATGGGCACCCTTGTCTTGTTCCTGATATTAGGGGAAAGCTTTCAGGCCTTACCACTAAGTATAATGTTAGCTTCAGATTTTCCATAGATGCTTTTTATCAAGTTGAAGAAGTTACCTTCTATTCCTTGTTTGGTGAACACTGTAATGAAAGGCTGTTGAATTTTGTTGAATGCTTTTTCTGCATCTAATGAGATAATCATATGGTGGTTTTTGTCCTTTATTCTATTAATATGGTATATTACTTTGATTATATTTCAAATGTTAAATCAGGAATTCATTACTGGGATAAATCTGACTTTGCCATGGTTTATAATTTTTTTATATCTTGCTGTGTTCAGTTTGTTGGTAGTAGGAGCAGGGATTTTTGAATCTATATTTATAAGGTATATTGACCTGTAGTTTTATTTTCTTGTGATAGTTTTGTGTTTTGCTATTGGTGAAATATTGAAATATAAAATGAATTGGAAAATGCTCATTCTTTTTTATTTGTTGGAAGAATTTGTGAAGAATTGGTATTAATTCTACTTTTTATGTTGGTAAAAACCACCAGTGAAGACAGCTGGGTTTGGGATTTTCTTTTGCATGAAATCTCCTTATTACTAATTCGTTATTTTTATTTATTATAGATCCACACAGAGTTTCTATTTTCTCTTGAGTTAGTTTGGTAGTTTGTATCTTTGTATAAATTTTCCATTTCATCTAATATTATATACATTTTATATATGCAATTTATTATCAGTTAAGAGAAGAAAGAAAAGTAAATACACTATCTTTTATAATTACATTTACTGATGCTATTTGGTTTTTATGTGTTGATTCAAATTAATGTCTGGTGTCTTATTTTCAGCTTGAAAATTTTTCTTTACTATTTATTGAAATGTGAGTCTACAAGCAAAAAGACATCTGTTTTTGTTCACCTGGGAATGTCTTCATTTCACCTTCATTTTAGAAGATAGTTTTGCTAGATATAAGATGATTGGTTGACAGCCCTTTTTGTCATTTTCTTTTAGCCCTTTCTTTTAGCCCTTTAAATATGACATTCTACCACCTTCCAGCTCCTTTGTTTCTGCTAGAAGTCAGCTGTGAATCCTACTGAGATGCTCTTGAACATGATGAATCTTTTTCTTCTCTCTTGCTGCTTTCAAGATTTTCTCTTTGTGTTTTCCTTTCAGCATTTTCACTGTGATATATCAGAGTAGATCCATTTTTCCTTAATTTTTCTTAGAATCTGTTGACCATTGTGGATGTGTGGATTAATATTGTCACCAAATTTTGGGAGATTCCAGCCACTATTTCTTCAAATATTTTTCTCCTCCTTTTTTTCCCCTCTCCTTCTGGTACTCCCATTATGCTTATGTTAGGGCACTTAATGATTTCCACATTTCCCTGAGGTTCTGTTACATTTCCTCCCTTATTTTTCCTCTGTGTTCTTTATATTGCATATCTATTGATCTATCCTCAAGCTCACCCATTCTTCTGCCAGCTCATATTTACTGCTGAGCCCCTTTAACAATTTTTTTATTCTACTTACTGTCCTTTTCTTTTTTTTTAATATGTAATTTATTGTCAAGTTAGCTAACAGTGTATATAGTGTGCTCTTGGCTTCGGGAGTAGATTCCCATGATTCATCGCCTACATACAACACCCAGTGCACATCCCAACAAGTGCCCCCTCAATGCCCATCACCCATTTTCCCCTCTCCCCCACCCCTCCATCAATCTTCAGTTTGTTCTCTGTATTTAAGAGTCTCTTATGGTTTGCCTCCCTCTGTTTGAAATTAGTTTTTCACCTTCCCTTCCCCTATGGTCTTCTGTTAGGTTTCTCAATGAGTGAAAATATATGGTATCTGTCTGTCTCTGACTGACTTATTCTATTTAACATAATGCCCTCCAGTTCCATCCACATTGTTTCATATGGCAAGATTTTATTCTTTCTCATTGCCAAGTAGTATTCTATTGTACTCACATACCACATCTTCTTTATCCATTCACCAGTTGATGGACATTTGGTCTCTTTCCATAATTTGGCTATTGTTGGTAATTCTGTCTTTTCAACTTCAGAATTTCCATTTGGTTCTTTTTCTTTTTTATGATTTCTGTCTCTTTATTGACATTCTCTCCTTGATGAACCATTGCATCATACATCTCTTTAATTCTTTAAACATGATTTCATTTAGTTCTTTAATCATATTTATAATGACTGCTCTGAAATCTTTGAATTCTAAGTTCCATTTCTGGGCCCTTTCAAAGGAAGTTTCTATTACCTGCTCTTTTATGGATTATTCTTCACTGTTTCTTTGCATGTCTTAAAATATTTTGCCTAAAATTGGATGTTTTAGATAATACACTATAGCAGTTCTGGATATTGATCTCCTGTGGGCCTGTTGTTGCTGCTGTTTACTTGTTTGCTTTTTTATTTGTTTAGCAATGACTTGTCTACTTAAGTGGAATCTATTTCCTCTGACATCCCCTACATGTACAGCTTCTGTTATCATTTGCAAAAGGGTGCAGCCTTGGGGATGCACACAGTCATCTTTACCTCCTACCCCCACCCCAGCCCAGGGATGCTGATCTTTTTTAATCATGTTTGCTGTGATTCTCTCTTTCCATGGTCTCATTGTTAAGCTTCTGGATGCTCTGTTTAAATGGGTATCATATCTAACAGTTGACCTATGTAATCATTTATTGATTAGTGTTTTCAACAATGCCCTGAGGCATAAATCTCTCCACAATCCCATCCAATTAAAGCTGGACCATTTGTTAGTCTGCTTAAGCTGCTATAACAAAATAACACAGACTGGGTAGCTTAAACAACAGAAATTTATTTTCTCATGGTCTGAAAGTCCATGATTAAAGTGCTGGAAAATTCAGTTTCTGGCAAAAGCTCTCTTCCTAGTCTATAGATTGCTGCCTTGCTACATCCTCACGTGGTGGAGAGAGAGAGAGAGATCTCTGGTGTCTCTTCCTCTTTTATGAGGGCAGCAGTTCTACCATATCAGGGCTCTATCCTAATGACTTCATTTAACCTTAATCACCTTTTAAAAGTGCTGTCTCCAGGAAAGTCACATGGGAGTTCAGGCTTCAACATATGAATTTGGGGGATGGGGGAGATACAAATATCCAGTCCACAGCAGGCTCCTTTACAGGGAGGGGATATTTAAGGCCATAGGAAGGAGAATAAAGACTAACCAAAAGCTGACACAAAGCTCTCAGACATGTGAGCAAAGCCATCTTGTATATTTTGGCACAGTTCAGACACCAGCAGAATGCACCCTCATGAGCAAACCTCACTGACCTCAGATGGGGCCTTGAGGAAATCCTGACCCACAGAACTACGAATAATAAAATGATTGTTGAGGAAATCAAAGTCTATGTGACCTCAGGAGGAAATAGATTAAGGATTCAGGAGGGCACAAGATGAAAGTGTGTGTGCAGGAGATATGGAGGAGGTAGCAGACACTGAATTCACAAACAGGAGGCATGGATCCAGACCCCAACTCTGTCATAATTAGATATCTGACCTTAAGAAAGGCAGTTTTTCTCTTTGGCATTCAGGTTCCTAACTGATAAATCAGGAATCAGGATAAATCATCTCTCCCAGGTTTAACTGTTTTTATATGAAAACAAAATTAAAATGAGTTTGACAGTTTTTCTCATCACCATATCCTGAAAATCATACCCATTTAGGAAGTGAAAGAGACCCTGTAACTATAAATGATTGGCTTTATTTGTGTAACAGAGTGTTAATGGTCTATTTTAATGAGAAGGGAAATAGTGTTATTTTAATAACATAGAGATGCTTTATTAATAGTGTCCATAGTGTTAACAATTGGTTGTCTAAAATTTCTGCCTGGGCACCTGGGTGGCTCAGTCGGTTGAGCGTCCAACTTTGGTCAGGTCATGATCTCACAGTTCATGAATTCAAGCCCTGCGTTGGGCTCTGTGCTGACAGCTCAGAGCCTGGGGCCTGCTTCAGATTCTGTGTCTCCCTCTCTTTCTGCCCCTTCCCCGCTCATGCTCTGTCTCTCTCTGTCTCTCAAAAATGAATAAAGTTAAAAAAAATTAATTTCTGCCTGACCTAAAATGAGGTTTGGTTATTTATGGTCTTAATAAATCACATCTAATATTATTTTTCTAAGAAAAATAATTTTTATAATGTGAGATAATAGATGTGCTAGAATCTATCATATATTTTTAAACCAAAATTATAAATGTCCTATAAAAAGTCCCTTTACTGTTGTTCAAACATTTGATGCTCTCAAACAATGTTATTACTCTTTAGAATATTAATTTGGCTCCACGAAACAAACAAAAACATTATACATACTATTAGTGGATATGTATTCTCTTAAGCTCTGCTCCTAACATGAATTCATTTCAGATTTCCATTCATTCATCCATATGTACTAAGCATGTTTCTCTTTGCTCTTAATTCAGGTTGAACTCCCCAAACACACCAAACTCTTATTCTTATATGTCTCTGTTTTTTTCCAGGCAATTATCTCAGTCTGGAAAATGTCCCCTAACCTTATTTTCTCTCTCTCTCTCTCTTTTGTGTTTGTGTGTGTTTCAAATTTTTATTTAGATTCTAGCTGGTTAGCAAATACTATAATACTGGTCTTAGGAGTAGAATTTAGTGATTCATCACATACATATAACACCCAATGCTCATCACAAGTGCCTTTCTTAATACCCATCACCCATTTAGCCCATCCCCCACCCACCTCCCCTCCAGTAACCCTCAGTTTGTTCTCTATAGTTAAAAGTTTCTTATGGTTTGCCTCCCTCTCTCTAACCCTATTTTCTCTGTGGAGTTTTCCTAACCTTACTCTCTAACTCCTTTTCATTTTTCAGTTCTTACTCTAGCACTTCTGAAAAACTTTCTCTGACCCTTAAAGTCTAGCTAATACCTTTTCTTTGAGATATTCTCATTAAACACCACCAGAATGACACTTGCATGATGTTTTGTAATTGCCTATTCCCTATATAGGTTCCACATTAGACTCAAAATTTCAAGAGGACAGAGATCTGAGAGTAGGAATATCTTCTTCCTGTTATATATCCAGGTGTATTTAATCAATAGTAG